AATTGAAGGCTAATATCCACGCTTTTTGAGAAATTTTGGAGGTTTCGGGGCCCGGTGTCGAAAAGGATTGAGATTTTAGGGAATACATCTCGGGGTCATATAATGTCGTCTGGAATTATAAATGTTCATTATAAGTTGTCATAAATGTTCGTGGTATGCTTGAGTTAATGAAATCGATGCAATTTGTAAACCGGTAAATTGGTCGTTTAAAGACAAATTGGATGGTTCCACCTACTCAATTGGACTCTCGGAGGGTATTTGGGACCATGGTAAAATTTTCGGCAATTTTTATTTTCAAGCGAAAAAAAAGTCAAAAAATTGCAAAATTGAAGGCTAATATCCATGCTTTTTGAGAAATTTTTGAGGTTTCGGGGCCCGGTGTCGAAAAGGCTTGAAATTTAAGGGGATACATCTCGGGGTCATATAATGTCGTTTGGAACCATATATGATCATTATATATTGTCATAAATGCTCGTGGTAGGCTTGAATTAATGAAATCGGTGCAAGTTTTAAATCAGTAAATTGGCCAATTAAAGACAAATTAGATAGTTCCACCTACCCAATTGGACACTTAGAGGGTATAAGGGACCATTGTAGACACTTTGACAATTTTTATTTCTGGGCGAAAAAAGTCAAAAAAATTCCAAAATTGAAGGCTCCAAGAGTATCCTAAAAAAAAGGAACCTTTCCTCTCCCCAGCCATTTCGGGTTAAGAAGATGTGAAAGCTCGTTTCTCTCTATAAGAATAAGAACGGTGCATCCCGAGGTGTGAAGTGGGAGAGAAGGGATGTCATAATTGGGTTTTTGAATAAGACGACCTTTTCATTCTTATTACTTTTTCATATTGAAAAAGTAATAAGAATGAGAGGTGTTAAGCTTTTTATCTTCCTAGCGTCGAGCTATTTTTCTGCATGACCTCCCCTACAGTATCGTCACCGCAGTAGAGTTTAACCACCGAGTTCGGGATGGATTGGTGTGGTTCCTCTATGCCTAGGGCACCAGAATATCGAATCACGAACTAAGAAAGGCATGAGAGAAAGGCATATTAGCTAGTGATTGTGAGGCCCCAATTCTTAACTGGAGGGAACACCAAAGTCCTCTGTCCTTCCATCTCTTGGATAGAGATAGATAGAGAGGGAGGGCAGGGTTTTTGGTTTTTTCATGTTGTCAAAGAATTGACCAATGGTTTTTTCATGTTGTCAAAGAATTGAACAATGAAAATGGATTGGATGGCGAGTGCCTGATCGAATTGATCGGGCCATGTATATCACAAGTTTTTGAGAAATTTTGGAGGTTTCAGGACCCGGTGTCGAAAAGACTTGTGGTTTTAGCGGATACATCTCGGGGGTCTTATAATGCCGTTTGGAACCATATATGATCATTAATGTTGTCATAAATGTTCGTGGTAGGCTTGAATTAATGAAATCGGTGCAAGTTGTAAATCGGTAAATGGGCTATAGAAAGACAAATTGGATGGTTCCACCCACCCAATTGGACTCGCACAGGGTATTAGTTTCATTATAAATATTTCGGCAATTTTTATTTCCGGGCGATAAAAAGTTAAAAAATTCCAAAATTAAAGGCTAATATCCATGCTTTTTGAGAATTTTTTGAGGTTTCGGGGCCCAGTGTCGAAAATGCTTGAGATTTTAGGGGATACATCTTTGGTTCATATAATACCGTTTGGAACCATATATGATCATTTTATGTTGTCATAAATGTTCGTGGTAGGCTTGAATTAATGAAATCGGTGCAAGTTTTAAATCATTAAATTCGCCAATTAAAGGCAAATTGTGAAAGGAATGGTGTCCTTCGAACAAGTGTACTATTTCGTTAGTGGGTTCAGAATTATTAGAAAGCTAATATATTCAGTGAGGTCAAGTGATCGGAATGCCTGGGTGGAGGCCGCTTCCGATCAGTAATATTAATGAATAATTAATATTACAGCTTAATCTTGACTGAACCCTTCGGGTCACACCCAAGCATTCAACAAACCGAACCGACGAATTAATTCAGAAGGAATTAATGAGTCGACCGAGTAATATTTATTTAGACGTCGGAAATTCGAGCTTAGAGCGTCGAAACCGAGCGTCGGAAGTCGAGTCGAAAAATAGTGAAAGACGAGACGAGAAATAGTAATAAATCAACAAAAGACCAAAATACCCCTAGCATCGGAATGCCCAAGCAAACCGAGTGCTAAGGGCGTATAGCCTAGCATGGTGGCTAGCATGCGCACCAAGCCGAGCCTAGGCTGGCTGGTGCGTGCTAGCGCACCCATGCTAGCATCGCAAGGCTAGGCGCTGCCTAGTGCGTGCTAGCATGCTAGGCGCAGCCTTGTGCGCGCAATGGCTAGCAAGCCATGCCGCAACAAGCTGCAGCAGCTAGCACGCTAGGTGTGCCAGCTCGCCACAGCTAACAGCAGCATGGCTAGGCCATTGCTTGCTGCCTAGCAGCGCTGGCCAAGGCACAAGGCCAGCAGCAGCCCGCACAAGCATGCTGGGCTTGCTGGCCAGCAGCGCCTGGCATCCACAACAAGAAAATGGCCTGTTTCCGACCGAAATTTTCCCTCGCTGAAGGCCCTAAATCTGTCGCAAATCATGTTTGCGACGGAATTCCGTCGTAAAACCTTTGGTAGGAAATTCTTGAATTTTCGAGGAATATTCCGTCGGAAAGGTGTTTTCCGACGGATTTTACGACCGATTTTAATCCGTCGCGTAACATATTGACTATTTAGTTTAGTCCGTCGCTAATTTGCGACGAAATTTCCGTCGCTGTGCTGTTTACAACGACGGATATTTCCGTCGGAAGAAGTAATTTCCGACCGAAATATTTCGTCGCAGATTTTCTGACCGAATATTTCCGTCGCTGGTAGTGTATTTTGCGACGAAATTTATTCCGTCGCTGGTTTACGACCGAATAATCCGTCGAAAAGGGAGGTGAGTTCCGACGGATTTAACTCCAGTTTTCCGTCGCTGGTGAAGTACTTGCGACCAATATAATTCCGTCGCAAACTGATTTTCCTTTCTAACAAAAATATTAACAAATATTATTATAATTGTGTATGTTCTTGCACCAAATACCTGTGATAATTAAAACTATTATCAAATTGCGAAAATATTAATAAATATTATTTTCTCAAAAGCTATATATATATCCAAAAGCTATATAATATATAGTAAGTTCTACAAAAGCGGGAACATAATCAAACGCTACATAAAATCGATCAAATTAAGTTCTTGTCCATACTACACAAACCTAAGCTAAGCTAAAAAACTGCAGGGGTACCCTGGCTTGCTCCTCCACTACCCGAATCATCCCTAGGGTCTCGACGTTGAGGCTGCATGGTGGAACATCCGTCGGTGTTGTTGCCGAATCGACTTATGAAGTCATTCCACCTCTCCTCGGCTCTCCTCTCCATTTGGGCCACTTCAGCTCGAATTTGAGTTTGCATCTCAACTTCCATTTCACTCTGAAGTTCATTCCGTATTTCACTTCGGAGTTCACTGCAGATCTCACTACGAAGTGCCTCGACCCTATGCTCCATCTGATTCTGCATCTGAGAAACAACGGATGGTGTGTACTGTTGTGAAGACCTAGACACCCGACCCATCCGTTCGCCATAGTACAACGATGCGCTTTCGCCAAGTCCCCACTCGACCCTTCTTGTTGCGACCACCCACAGTCTCCCAATACAACTCATTGGGACTCTTTTTAATCCCTTGGGTGGTGGCTTCTTCAACCTTCTTCTGGTAGGACTCCTACAAGAAATACATTATACAATTATATATGGTTTTAATAATTTAGCAACAACATCAGTTACAAGTAAAGCAACATATAAGTGAAAATGGAATCAATAAACAATAAAAGAACCATATTTCTAAGTTTAAGGGTTTATATACTCAAAATGAAGCCATTTCAAGCCTTTATGGCTTCTTACATGCCTATTTCCAATATTTCTTTAATTTTTAACTCATTCTTTGTCAAACCATCTCATATTTACATACTTATAATATATTATGGGTTTAAATCACATAAAAGAACCATATTTCTAAGTTTAAGGGTCTTTATCCTCAAAATGAAGCCATTTCAAGCCTTTATGGCTTCTTACATTCCTATTTCCAACATTTCTTTACTTTTTAACTCATTCTTTGTCAAACCACCTCATATTTACATAATTATAACATATTATGGGTTTAAATCACATAAAAGAACCATATTTCTAAGTTTAAGGGTCTTTATCCTCAAAATGAAGCCATTTCAAGCCTTTATGGCTTCTTACATGCCTATTTCCAACATTTCTTTACTTTTTAACTCATTTTTTGTCAAACCATCTCATATTTACATACTTATAACATATTATGGGTTTAAATCACAATAAAGAAGCATATTTCTAAGTTTAAGCCAACATAATAAGTAAACCATACAAAATTATATTAAAATTGTTACCGCTATGTTTTTGGATTTGACATTGGCAGGCACCATTCCTTTCCCAGGGACCTCCTTGAAGTGCGTCTTCATGAAAAGCTCATGTGCAGTAGGTAACTGCCCTTTGTTTTTCGCCGCCTTTGAATGTACATGCACAAAAACAAATAAAACTTGTCATTCCAATGTGAACCACAATTGTTACCTATTTACATGCCTTATAAAGAAACTAACCATCCTTTTTGCATGTTGTACAGCTGAAATTGAACCCTGGTAGTGGGTTGGTTCAACCATATTGTCCAATGATCCGCCTCTTCTATTCTTCTTATTTTGTTCAGACCGTTTCTTGTACGTATCATCATTGGAAACAATGTTCATCATCTTCCGGTGGACATCATCAATAAGCCAGCCCGGCTTCTGACCTTTCATCTTGTGTGTGATTGTGTGAAACATGTCCTTCAACCGATATGAGAACTTGGATTCAAAGGTTGTCTTCACATGGTCCTCCAACTCGGGTGCCCATGTGCATTGCTTCTGACAAACATTTAAAGTTAACAACCAAAACTCAAACTTCGCAATTAGTAATACATAGTTGTAAGTATAAAATGACATACACAAAACAAGTTCCACCAATGCTCCTTTGTTTTAGCATCAACTTCTCCGTAATTCCTCCAAGGCTTTCGATAGTAGCCTGTTAGGGTACCGGAGATGGCCTTTACCACGGCTTTATCATCAAACCTATTTTAACGTACATCAAGATCAAAAAGAAAATAAGTAGTTCATGTTAGAGTATTCCATAGGTCATGATATAAAATATGGATACAAAGGGATTGAAATAACAACTAAATATATACCAGCACGTGGCAGGGTCTAGTACCACCCTCTGAGAAGACTGCGAGGCATGTTGCCCCTGAAGCTGTTGCGCCTGAAGCTGTTGCTCATGATGCTCAATCTGCATCTGTGTTTGAGGATCCTCGTCGTCACCCAAATCTTCCGCCTCCTCCGCATCCTCCATTTCCTCATCATCATCATATATCAAAACCTGTCTTTTCTCCTTTCCTTTTCTACTCTTCGACGTTTCTCCTTTTTTCCCTCCCACCATTGCAACCTGAACGGCGGGTGGTGAAGATGGTGGTGGTCGGAGCGAGGACAATAATGGAGGAGGAACCGGCGGTGGTGGCTGCTTGTAAAGGCGCCGGCGGTGGTGGCTGTTCGAAGGATTTTCAGACTAAAATTTAAAAATAAAAGTAAAAAAAAAAAAAAACAAAACAAAACACAACCTACACTGACCGGCGGTGGTGGCTGCTTGTAAAGGCGCCGGCGGTGGTTGGGCGACGCGGGACCTCTGACCGGCGCAGGGTGGTGGCTGTTGCAGACGGTGGTTAATTGTAGTGGAGTGGAGGCGTGTTTATATATTTTTTTTTTTTAAAAAAAAAAAAACAAAACCTACACTTACCGGCGGCCGACCAACGGAAGGGCGGGTCGACCAACGGAAGACGGATCTCCGGCTGCGGCGAACGGAAGGACGGCGGCGGATCTTTCTTTCTTCTTTCTTTCGTTCCTCTCTGTTTCTTCCTCTCTCTTTCTTTCGAATTCGTAGCAAATGGACCCAACATCAAAACCCTTGACTTTTGTCTAATTAATTTTCCGACGGAATTAATTCGGTCGGAAAATATAGTTTCCGACGGAATATTCTGTCGGAAACTATATTTTCCGACCGAATTAAATTCGGTCGGAAACTTTGCGAGGAAATTTCCATCGTTAACTATGTTTTCCGACCGAAATTAGCGTCAAAATTAAATCCGTCGTTGATTATAGGATTTGCGACGGAAAATCATGTCCTTCGGCATAATTCGGTCGGAAATTGGCCCATTTCTAGTAGTGAGCCTGCATGCGAGTGCTGGGCCTGCTGGGCTTGCTGGGCGTGGCTGCCACGGACAACAGCACATGGCAGCCCACCTTGGCTGCCTTGGTGCCCAAGGGTGGGTGCCATATGGCTAGTGGTCCTTGAGTGTGTGTGGAGTGAGGTGGCCGGTTATGGGAGAGGGAGTGGGGTGCAAGTTTGGTCCCCCCCTTCTCCAAGTGGTCCTCACCTAACCACTCACATGAGCTTGCCACTTGTTGATTTATTACTAGCTTGATTATTAATTTTATTTTAGCTTTAAAATAAAATGGAAAAATCATACTATCCCACATTGATGGGAGAGTAAATGATACTCCCATCATTTCCTATAAATACCCAAGTATGGGCATTGGGAATGTTGCTTGAGTAAGAGTTGAAAAAGGCATAACAATTAGTGAAAACCTTTGAACTCAATATAATTACTCGGGTTTTATTGGTCGGGTCTTGCTAACCCCAAGACATTGGACCTAGTCGGTTTTGTTGGTGCGGGTGGACTTCGTTGGAGGTCTCCGTGTGAGCGGGACTTGAAGCTTTCAAGTAAGAGCTCATTTTGGAGCAAAGAACGCGTCAAAGGTAATTAGCTTATCTTAATCTTGTGATTAATTTAATTATATTTATGGTTTTATTTATTGCGAGTGCGGTCTTTTTTTGGGTTTGTTTCCGCAATGAGTCGGACTCACCAAACCCCAACAAATTGGATGGTTCCACCCACCCAATTGGAAACCTAGAGGGTATAAGGGACCATGGTAAACACTTCGGCAATTTTTATTTTTGGGCGAAAAAAAGTCAAAAAATTCCAAATTTGAAGGCTAATATCCACACTTTTTGAGAAATTTTGGAGGTTTTGGGGCCCGTGTCGAAAGGACTTGTTATTTTAGCAGACACATCTCGGGGGTCTTATAATGCCGTTTGAAACCATATATGATCATTAATGTTGTCATAAATGTTCGTGGTAGGCTTGAATTAATGAAATCGGTGCAAGTTGTAAATCGGTAAATTGGTCGTTCAAAGGCAAATTGGATGGTTCCACCCACCCAATTGGACTCCCGGGGGGTATTAGGGAACATGGTAAATATTTCAGCAATTTTTATTTCTGTACGAAAAAATGACAAAAAATTCCAAAATTGAAGGCTAATATCCACACTTTTGAGAAATTTTGGAGTTTTCGGGGCCTGGTGTCGAAAAGGATTGAGATTTTAGGGAATACATCTCGGGTCATATAATGTCGTCTGGAACCATAAATATTCATTATAATTTGTCATAAATGTTCGTGGTATACTTGAGTTAATGAAATCGGTGCAAGTTGTAAACCGGTAAATTGGCCGTTTAAAGACAAATTGGATGGTTCCACCTACCCAATTGGACTCTCGGAGGGTATTAGGGACCATGGTAAAAATTTCGGCAATTTTTATTTTCAGGCGAAAAAAAGTTTAAAAATTCCAAAATTAAAGGCTAATATCCATGCTTTTTAAGAAAAAATTTAGGTTTCGGGGCCCGGTGTCGAAAAGGCTTGAGATTTTAGGGGATACATCTCGGGGTCATATAATGTCGTCTGAAACCATAAATATTCATTATAAGTTGTCATAAATGTTCATGGTATGCTTGAGTTAATGAAATCGGTGCAAGTTGTAAACCGGTAAATTGGTCGTTTAAAGAAAAATTGGATGGTTCCACCTAACCAATTGGACTCTCGGAGAGTATTAGGGACCATGGTAAATATTTCGATATTTTTTATTTTTAGGCGAAAAAAAGTCAAAAAATTCCAAAATTGAAGGCTAATATCCATGTTTTTTGAGAACTTTTTGAGTTTTCGGGGCCCCGTGTCGAAAAGGCTGAGATTTAAGGGGATACATCTCGGGGTCATAATATCGTTTGGAACTATATATGATCATTATATATTGTCATAAATGTTCATGGTAGGCTTGAATTAATGAAATCGGTGCAAGTTTTAAATCAGTAAATTGGCCAATTAAAGGCAAATTGGATAGTTCCACCCACCCAATTGGACACCTAGAGGGTATAAGGGACCATGGTAAACACTTCGGCAATTTTTATTTCTGGGCGAAAAAAAGTCAAAAAATTCCAAATTTGAAGGCTAATATCCACACTTTTTGAGAAATTTTGGAGGTTTCGGGACCCGGTGTCGAAAAGACTTGTGGTTTTAGCGGATACATCTCGGGGGTTTTATAATTTCGTTTGGAACCATATATGATCATTAATGTTGTCATAAATGTTCGTGGTAGGCTTGAATTAATGAAATCGGTGCAAGTTGTAAATCGGTAAATAGGCTGTTTAAAGGAAAATTGGATGGTTCTACCCACCCAATTGGACTCTCAGATGGTATTAGGTTCATTTTAAACATTTTGGCAATTTTTATTTTCGGGCAAAATAAATGTAAAAAAAATTCCATAATTGAAATCCACGCCTTTTTGAGAAATTTGGGATGTATCGAGGCCCGGTGTCTAAAAGTTTTGAGATTTTAGGGGATACATGTCGGGCTCTTATAATGCCGTTTGGAACCATTTATGATCATTATATGTTGTCATAAATGTTCGCAGTAGGCTTGAGTTAATGAAACTGGTGCATGTTGTAAACCGGTAAATTGGCCGTTTAAAGGCAAATAGGATGGTTCCAACCATCCAATTGGTCTCCCAGAGAGTATTAGGGACTATGGTAAACATTTCAGCATTTTTTAATTCCGGTCGAAAAAAAGTAAAAATAAAATAAAATAAAATAAAATAAAAAAATTGAAGGCTAATATCCATGATTTTTGAGAAATTTTGAAGGTTTTGGGGCCGGTGTCGAAAAGAAATGAGATTTTAGCGGATACATCTCGGGGACATTTAATGCCGTGTGGAACCATATACGATCATTATTTGGTGTCATAAATGTTCGTGGTAGACTTTAATTAATGAAATCGACGCAAGTTGTAAACCGGTAAATTGGTCGTTTAAAGGCAAATTGGATGGTTCCACCCACCCAGGCCAATTGGTTTCCCGGAGGGTATTTGAGACCATGGTAAACATTTCGGCAATTTCTATATTAGGGCGAAAAAAAGTCAAATAATTCCAAAATTGAAGGCTTAATATCCACGCTTTTTGAGAAATTTTGAATATTTCGGGGCCCGGTGTCGAAAAGCATTAAGATTTTAAGGGATACATCTCGGGGTCATATAATGTCGTCTAGATCCATATATGATCATTATATGTTGTCATAAATGTTCGTGGTAAGCTTGAATTAATGAAATCGGTGCAAGTTGTAAACCGGTAAATTGATCGTTTAAAGGCAAATTGGATGGTTCCACCAAGCCGATTGGACTCCCGGAGGATATTAGGGACCATGGTAAACATTTCAGCAATTTTTATTTTCGGGTAAAAAGTCAAAAAATTTCAAAATTAAAGGCTAATATCCACACTTTTTTAGAAATTTTGAAGGTTTGTGGCTCTTTAAACACCAAAAATATAAACAAATTTTGTATAATATAGGACAATTTTTGTAAATAAATCAATATATATATTTTTTTTAATTATAGTTAAACATAGCATTCGATAAACAAATTATCTATTGATAAATTGGGACAAGCTCCTACTCCGTAAATTGATAGTAAAATAATTCATAAAAGTTACTAATTTTATCACGAGCGATTTCCCTCAATAATGTTGAAATGGAGGGAGTACTTTACTTACTAATCAAACTGATTGTTATCATTGGCAGCATTTGCTGATTTGTTTAACACTACACTCATCATAATTCAAACCAACCAAGATTCTTCGATTAATGGAGAATCATCATTAAGTTCATCATCATCGTCAAATGAATAGAGCGCAAAAGCATCACATCTTGTGGTACTACTACGGTGTTAAGTTCATCATCATCGTCAAATGAATAGGGAGCAAAAGCATCATTAGCATTAGGGTTCATCTGCATTGTAATTTTGAGTTTTCACGATGTTTATTTAAATTATTTTAATTCCCTCGGACAAGAAGTAGACATCATCAACCACCAGAAATATAATTCAAATAAATCTGATAATTCATTTATTCAACTCATCTTGTTATAGCGAAGGAAACACAAAACTGGGACTTGAATATAAAACAAGATAGGAAGAATAACTATAATATCCTAATTAAACTCTACCAAAATGCATAATACTAGACATAATTTTAGTAACCCCCAAGTCCCCAACTAAATACGCGCTTTCAAAACTTCAAGTGTACATATCTCTTCTGACTACTTCCTGAATATCTTCAAGTTCCATGCAAATGGCATCGTGAGGAGAAGTGCCATGGAGCTTCAACCAAGAGCTTCAGTAGGACGACATTTACAATATGACTTAAGGATCAAATAGCACTGCCAGAGCTCAATACTGAGCTTCAATCAAGATCCTTTTTTCAATTTCATAATCTCGCATTCGCTGAGACACACACCCAGATTAACAATTGCAATTACCTTCGAAATCATTCATCATCAGAGTCGGCAAATGTTATCTTTGTAGCTTTGGGAGCATCCGCTGTGATCTCTCTGAAATGAGCACCATAGAGCTTGGACTCCTACAAGTGAAAGATCACATAAGCTTGAGCAAGGGAAAAGCATCACAAATTTTACAACCAGAACTAATTTCCCCAAAAAGAAATTTACATAAGAGGGAGTAGGGGTGGATTAAAACAAGTCGACAAGGAGCAATTCAAGATGCTTACTTTTTTCTTTACAT